CAAGAGCCTCAAACACAACTTCTATTACACTAGATGATTATATTAGCTCTTGTCAGCTACCAAGTATATTTCTATATTTCACACCGGCTTGAGAACAAGCATAGTGCCAATGCAAAACAATGTTAATGAATTTGTGAAGGAGTACAAAAGGATTAAATAAAAATGGGGAAAACAGAGAACACGGAGCAAAAATTGAATGGTTTTTTTTGCTAGTTTCACCGTACACTTTTGAAGATTTTTTGTGTGTTATAGGGAACGGGGTTTCGCTAAGCAAAACGCACAGCAGTTGCGCTACTGTAATCTTTTCTGAGCCATATCTCACAGAGTCCCTAACCATCAACAATCCTCATCCTTTGGGTCCCATCCAGGAAGGCGAGCTGCATCAACCGAAGCCAATGCTGAGGCTAACTTTTCATACCTCTGCGCCATGTCATGTCGGACAGTTACCAAGAGCAAATTGACACTAATGATTCTCCGAGCGACCAGGCAGGAGACGGGAGTTACCGAGCCGTAACGGAACATAAAAGTTTAACTGATAGTGTTAACAGTGAAGACGATGCCGATGCGCGAATTCCAATCTCCATGCCGGTTATCGTCTTTTTGATTGACAGGCAATGGCGCTATGGTTTGGTTTAATACAACACCTATCCGAGCGCATCTTTTGATTGGCTACGGCACTTTCGTGTTCACTGTTGCATTGGAATTTATTACTTGTTTTCCGCCATGCTCTCTCGACGTCCGTATCCCAGGGAAACATTACTACGGCGAAAGAATATTCATTATTCTTCTTTGTTATCCAACTCACATGGTTTTGCCCGAACTGAACTTTCCGCTCGGAGCAAGAAACGAAAGTGTGCCGGGTTGCAGACTGCGCTTGAAAACACTCCTCCCATGAAGTTGACAGTTCCGTCATTAATCAGTTTCAACATTCACTCACTGTTTAGCAAACTGGCTGAACTCACGGGTCTACTAACTCATCGCGTGCACACAAGCATGTGTGATATGCATACAGGAATCGTGGCTCAACGAAAACATAGACGATTCGCTGGTCGGCATACCTGGTTTTGCAAGTTCTCTACAAGACAGAGAAAGAAGTACAAAGAAGTCCGGAAGTGGTGTAATAACCTACATTAACTACAGTTAGTGCAGCAAGTCCGAAACGTTGTTTGTTTTCTCCTCTTATGGTATTGACTCCCTTTCATCTCGATCTAGGTTTTACCCTTATCGGAGCACAATTATTGCCCCTTCTTGCTCACAAACCAAAATTAGTTCTTTCTATGATTCATTTATTCTTTTCACTGCTCCTTTAGCGGACGATAATTTAGTTTTAATTGTCAGTAATTTTAATCACGGACCAACCCAAACCTTACTTTCTTTCGGTCTGTCAGATCTCTCTTTAACGCCCACCAGAGGAAATGCTATTTTGGACAAGCATATTACTAATCACCCTAATATCTTCTCTCTCAAACTGAAGGCGCCAATTTCGTCTAGTGACCACTGTTTTATGTCCTGTCTTAGACCAAAAGTTAACTCTCGCTTAGCATACCCCGCTTTTATTCAAGCAAAACAAATGAACATTAAAATTCGAAACTTTTCAGCCGACAGACTCGTTCTCCTCAGAAAATCTCTTACTATTATGTCTTCATGGTTTTCCGTTCTGTTCTGTTGAACATTTTACAGGAACAGCTAACGTGATTTTCAATCTATGCTGTCCTATGGCGACAGTTTTTGTTCACAATGGAAGAATTTGCTCTCCGCGGCTAAAAGATCTTAGAAGACAAAAAGAACTAGCGTTCAAGATACATCAAACAGACACTGTCAAACAACTTACAATGCAAATCAGGGCAGAGATCAAAAGACTGAATGCTTCATTCGCAAAGCAGG